AAACGTGTTATGCTGTAGTAAATGAACTGACGATGTTGGTAGGACAGGTAATGAACTGCTGATGGTGGTAGGAGAGGTAAACAAAGACCATATGTCTTCCAGATGGTAGTTTTGATCATACCTTCAGTAACATTTTAATCAACAGGAGCAGAGATGTTATTTACCACTTCTGGTTGGTGAGATCTTTTCATAAGCTCCTTTGCCATTCTATAATTTAATTTGTCTGGGTTGCTAAAGGGAATGAATCGGTGGATTGTCTTCATCACAAAGACCTTTCCTGACGTACACAAGCATGCAGTCTAATTTGAGAGCGTGCAAGGCTGTAAAACAGACCTGGGTGCGGAGTGGGACCTCACCAGAAACAGGAGTGCGCATTCACAGCTTTTAAAAAAAAAGTAAACAGAGCTATTATTCCATGTTTTACTCATTGTTTCCAGGCTGTGGACGGTAATATTAAGCCTAATACTGCTGTTAAGGACAGTTGCAAGGGCATTTCCTGCAGAGTGGTTGCTAGAAATGTAATCTCCCATGGGGTTTGATGGACATATGAAATAATATTCCAGTCTTAGAAATGAGTCACCCAGCTGTGGACAGCTGGTAACTGTGAAGATATCCGCATATGGCTTCACACCAAGGTGACATGGGGAAGATCGATTTCTCTGGACCAAAGAGGAGAGCAATTCTCACCAGCCTGGCTCGTGGGTGATGACTTGCTCACATGGACAAATCCTGGCTCCGCTATTCATACTGAAAGGGGCATCAAGCTTACGTACATAAGCAAAACAAACAGAAAACACTGGTAGATGAGAGAAAGATTATTTGCTTTATGACTCAGGCCCAGGGTCTGCCAATTTTGAGATAAATAGGAGTGTGCACAGGTTGGGTTTTTTTTTTTTTTTCAGTGTGAGTAAAAGGGAGGGAAAGAGGGGAGCCTTCCTCCCTCTGTGAGCCAGAATGGATCCTAGATGCTAGGCTGGCATTATATACTTTCGCCCTCAAAACAGCTTCATATTTTAATCACTGGCCTAATGGCTGTTTTCCACCCTTCATGGAAAACTACAAAGCACATTAGCTTTATCCTATATTTCTGTTTTAATTTTTACCTTGGATTTTTGATTTAATTAAACCCCTCAGTTTCTCACCCAACTGTGCCTACAGTCTGCAGAAGCATGGTCACTAGGAGCCCTCTGGTCCGCCCAGGGAGGAAGGCTCCCCTCTCTTCCTCTCTCTTTCCAAGGGCAATACAAAGCAATGGCCTAATCCAGCAGACTAAATCAGGCCCCCAATCTGTATTGCCCTTCCTCCAGCGGATGTTGATTTTTTTTTTCTTTTTTTTTAAACACAAAATGAATACTGGACAGAATGAGAAAGTCATGCACTGCTCTTCATTTTGACCTTTCAAATGGGATATACAAAAATGCCAAAGCACTGAATTAAGGTTGGGTTTTTTTCAACCTGGGCTGCCTCTGTTATGGAAGAGTATCACTGGATACACACCTGCAAACATATACAGTGACTCTGACATTTACATCTTTCTTTTCTGAAATTGCAAGAATCCACCCGAGGGGTTTCTTACCCACCCCATTTCTAGGCTAATTGCCAGGACATTTAATGCAATCGTATTGCTAATATTTTCGGTAGAAATAATCAATTCAATATTTTTCATCTTATCTTAGGGAAGAGGAATTATTTATTTCTAGACTTATGGACTACATCTTTCAAAGCAACTGGCTTTCTTCCAATAATAAGAAAACTTTTTGCAAGATTTTGACACTAGAGCATTTAAGGGAAAAAAACAAAATTAATTCTATGTGGATGTAATATTATTCCACTTTTTTTTTTTTTGACTGTTCTTCAATAAGCGTTGCAAAACTGACACTTGTTTGAAATAACGGCATGACAACATTGATCCAAACTGTACATTTTTTCTAAATACTGAGACAGATCCTCATCTTCTACGGCCTCATCTAAGCTCCAGTGAAAAAGCACTGATTTACCCCAATAGAGTATCTGCTTCAGTAAAATCGTTGTCATTGATTGCTCTAACAACTTCCCTCTTTCTTCCAGCTCCAAGTCTCCATGGTTATTATTCTCTTCAGCATGAGGGAAGCCACACAGTAGCCGACTGTCTTGACCTTGCTTTTGAGCCAAAACCAACACAGCAAGAAAGGAGTTCAGTAGGGCCGTATATCCCCTCCAGACCGATAGCCAGAACATCTACATCTATTAAACACCTTTTGATTGGTCAACAGAAAGGCTGCTGAAGGCCAGCAGTGTGATCCAGCTATGTCCAGAGTCCCATTTTCACCTTAACAACACTACCGTGCTGCTCTGTGATGCGCAATGCTTATGCAAAGACATTTCATAAGAACTGCAGTGTATGACTGAGTCTTAACAATTCAGGGTGAGAACAACCTATTCGGCTTCTGCCACTGTAAAAAAGAATGGATAAAATTCTTTTCACCTAGCAAACTTCACTGGAGTCTCTCTCGAACTTGGGCCAACCACAGCTAATGCAACTTTTGTTCTTTGAAGTGGTTCACGTGGCTGTTTTGTTTCACCTTTTATATCTGTACAAAGAGGCAATTCACCTAAAAAAATTTAATGTTCTCTAAAAACATAGCGCACGTACTGGCTCCTCAGCCTTGATGTGCTGACTGCTGCTGTTGCATAAGAGATTCAGGGCAGCAAGCAGCAGGTGAGAAGCACTGCATTTATATTTTAATTACCTTATGCTAGGAGTTTCTTCAGAGGTAACTTAATTACTATTTGTTCACTTACATTATTAAAACCTTACTCATGTCCTTCCATTTCAAGGACTTTTTCTACCTCCTGAAAACCGTATTGTTAGGATTGCAAATAACTAACTATTCTGAAATAATCCCAAGTGATAATTTTATAAATGTGTTGAGCACCAATTGTAATTACAGAACTTTAGCAATAAAAATTAAAAAAATCTAGGAAAGTATTATTTTAGGTACAAAAAAAAAGTCCTCTGGATCTTGGCTGATTTAAAAAAAATGTTCATCATTTGTGAGCTTCTTAAATACATTTTCAGCAACCGTGTTCTTGTCTAGAAATGAATTCTCAAAATGTCATGTTCTGTGAAAAAACACCTACTGTTTTATTAATGCCCTATTCCACATCACACTGATTATGCCAATAAGAATAAATATTTTTGCATAAACACATACATCTGGTTTTTTCTACAGAGAGAATACATTATAACCTTAGTTTCTTATCTCTAGTAGTTTCTTATTTCTAGAAGAATTCATACACTAAAGGAATGTGACACTTTGAAGTAAACTAGCGGTAGAGGTACTTCACTAACTGACGTAGATGTGCGTTGCACAGAACCTTCCAATAAGGCAGAGAAATTGGAAAGGCTCTCTGGAAAATGGTAATTTGGCAAAGGGTTTCTAATGGTTTTGTGGTTTTTTTTTTCCCATATCGATTTACTCGCATCCGTTTGCCAACACTGGGGAGATCTAACCACCACGAGACTATTTAACATTGCTCGTTTGCTCCTGGAGGATTCATGTACCTGCCAGTGCCAGTCTAGACCATGTTGGCAGCTCTATGAACAAAAGGAGGGATTCTGGTAGAAATAGATTTACTTTTCTGCAGCAAGACACTTATCAGAACTGACAGGCATGCAATACTGAGGCTGCTCATGCTCCGCACAATATATATTCTTTCTACTGAAAAGCAGCTAGAATATTAATGAGATATTAATGTTGTTAACTGTGGGTGTGAGCCCACAGCACTTTCACACTGGAGTAACCCTCACTCAGGCAGCCAGGGTCACTGAACCCAGTGAGGTTGTTTCACTAGGAATGAACGCCATGGAGGTAAAAACTCCCTTTCTAATTATTGTGTCCTTGCAATTCTGATTCACATGGGTAAAAAGAGTTGGCAAGATTTTGCCCTAATTTTATTGCCAAAAGAGCTCAGTGCTTTGGGTGTTTTTTTCCTGTTAGAGACTTACTGCAGAGTTCCAAAGGCAGCAGCCTGAGAACGCGCTTTCTTCTCACTTTTAAATTGGAGAGCATATAGATACAGATCCTGAAATGGATGCTTGAACACTTGAATAGTTTTCTAAATTAAAAATAATGGATTCCTAGCAGGCATCCTACCCCAGTTTACTCACAACATAGATTCTATTACCCCAAGTGTTGCTGATCATGATTGGAGCTACACAATAGTAATGTCAGAAAACAGTCTTATGTTGATGACTGAGCCACTGAAAATGAGTTTTTTTCATGACTAATTTATTTTAGAAAGGGAGACAATACTATTTATGTCATGTAAATGACTTAGAGAAATAATGCAAATGACATTGGACATTTACAAACTCATTATGATAATGGAAATCTTGAATAACTTGTAAGAGAGTTCTGCAAGTTCCACTGTTATGTTTGGCATAATGATAAACTTCTTAACAATCTCTTGATCATTTCTCTCCTCCTTTTTCATGAAATTCATCATATACGGATGCAGTACCAAACCATTAAGACGCAATGCAATTTAAATGATTTTACAGAGAACCAGAAATGCTTAATTTATACCTTTTATCCTTGTAACAGAACTAGATGTACTGGATTCCTAAGCCATTAAACCAACCTCTAGAGATCTGCCTCTAAAATAGATTGTTCAGTTAAAAAGACTTACCTTTCTTACAAAAAATGAGTCTCCATTTTTGTGATAATCTATTTTTTATTCCTCCTGCAAACTAGAGATTCTAAGAAATCGCAGTGTGCAACATAAAAACTCCAGGTAAGGATGTCTTTACTATGATATGCAATAATCAGTTCCAAATATTTATTAACTGGCAATAGCGCTGATCTGAATCTATGTGTAGTTAACACATCTGGCAGTTTCTGTTGCTTCTGTTTCCTCCCCCACCCCCTCAAATATAAACCAAGACTTGATCAAACATGTAAAACGTACAGTACCCTGAACACATTCAGCCCAAGGAAAGAGGCATGTTGGTATATTACCTTAAATTCAGTTTCAATGTTGGCTAGCCTGGCCAATTCATTGCTTAGCTCTAAAGCAGTAAGGACAGGGTCTTCACTGGAAAGAGACAAATAAGCAGCACTGGCTAATCCTTTGTAGGCATTCATTCTCGATCGAGAGTGACTAAAGGAATCTTTCCTCTGCTTCTCAATACATTCATTGCACTTGCAAAAATAGTCATGTGGCCTTTCAATCCGCGCGCCTTTTAGAAGTAAGATGTGAACAATTTCATACTCCTGGCAGTGGGCAGCAAGTATGATAGGGGTAATGTCATGGGAGAACCGAGTTCCATCTTCATCATAAGCGTAAAAATCATCATCTCTCAGTTCCTGCTCAAGGGGGCTGAGCGTGAGACGCTGTCCTTGTGCAAAGGCTGGATGGTTCAATATTGCTTCTACAATGCGCACGTATCCTTTACTGATGGCTAATAAAAGCGCATCTCCAACTCGAGCGAGATTCTCCTTTTTGAGGAGGAGCTCTGTCACTTCCAGATGCTCATTCCCTACAGCTAATTGAAGGGCGTTTTGTCCCATATAATCAACACAATTAAAGTTCAAGGTTTTGGATTCCTCCAGCATTTTTCGCACAACAGGAATGTTGCCATATTCTGCAGAATCGAGAAAGCGTTCCTCTTCTGCAGTCAGGCTGGTGCCTTTCTCGTTGAACATGTAGGCTGGGCCCCGGATGGCCTGCCTCCGGCCCTTCTCCCGAAGGGTTGTGTGCCTTCGATGCATGGTTTTGTAATTGCTGTTTCTCAGCCTGCAGAAAACCGGAAAGGAAGGTTGGTTATATTCTCGGAGGGGATAATTTCACATAACCTGAAATAAGGTTGGAAACGTCTCATTATGATCAGGTCTTGCTAGCTTTTTGTGTTCTGGGCCAGTTAAAAATCTTTTAGGATACATGTGGAATAAAGATTAGTTTCTGAACAACAGACAGGTTCTCTTCTGACTCGTACACCCTTCTGGATTTCAACAATGATAGAAAGAACATTCTGAACTTGAGAAATAGAAAAAAAAGAAAAAAAAAAAAAAAAAGAAAAAAAGTATGAACACATTGCTTAGAACTTCATTGCACAGTGTTTAGGAATGATATGCACACATAATATTTCTCTGAATTACTCTTCTTGCGTTTTATCCTTGAGGGCATGAGCCCTAAAGAAAGTTAGCAGGATTCCCCCTATCAACAGACCTTGAATCAGGCCAATAAACTATGTTCCATAAAGTTAAAAAACACACTTCTAATTTTAAACACACAGTAAAAAAAAAAAAAAAAAAAAAAAAAAAAAAAAAAAAAAAAAAAAAAAA